GGCCGCAGCGCCGCCTCCTCGAGAGCGAGGGGGCCACCCCGCGGCCAAACAGCTCACCCCTCAACACGAATCATCCCGAACCCTCGGCCGCCGTGGCCCGATCGAAACAGCTTCGGTCTGGGGCGTCGGCGGGGGCGGAATGGCGGCGGCCCCCCAGCTTTTCAGCACCCCCCGAAAACGCTGCTCGCCTCCCTCGTCAAGACCTGCCTCCGATCGGGCGAAAAAATGCCCGGCGCGGGTCCTATCGCAGTCGCTTGCCGCATGGCCCTTCGACTGCGCGAGTCGGCGCACCTCGAGCCGACCCCGCCAGCGCTTCCGTTCGCCACCGATCCCAGCGATTTCTGGCGTTCCTGCCCAGTCCGCCACGCGCCTGCCAGAAGCCGCCCCCCCCCCTTCTTCGAGCGCCTCCCAGCAGCGACCGATCCGAGCAGCAGGAGCCACCGGGCCCCGCGGCCACTCAGCCACAGTCCATCTGGCCTTGCGGAAAGTAAGATCAGGTCTCAGAGAGAGACCTTCGGCTCCAAAGGCTGGGAAATGACATGCGCTAAGTTGGTGACCGCCTGATCTTCGGCATGGCCATTCACCTCTTACACCTGCGCAAGCAGGCGCCGGCTGGCATTGCGGAGGTCATTCATATCCTGCTACAACCAAGCCCACCCCTCCAAAATCCGACCAACCTTTCCCAGTTCACAGCGGGGCGGTGTGGGGACGGGAATCCATTTCACTTTAAGTTGATTATTGTCAGGTCCTTCTTCTTACTTGAGGCCTAAAGCCTACTTTGAAGCCCTAGCTCCACGGAGTCCGAACAGAAAGCTTCCACACCCCACAAGGACTCCCCAAGCCACCTCGACGTCTTCCTGGTCAGCAACACGGCTGACTTCTTCGGCCACAGCAAGGACAACGGCTCAACACATTGGTTTCGGACTCGGCCCCACGGGCAACTCTGCGGGGAGTCATTGGTAGGCCTCATAGACTAGCTGATGGAGCTTCATTGCCCTGAGCTTTCAAGGTAGCTGAGCAGGTCGGTGGAGACGGTGGCGTCTACCAGCTTTCTGAACGTCGCAGATGGCAAAAAATCGATGGTGGTGTTAGCCTTTGGCGCCACGCACCTCTCGACGCTCGGCTGAAGAACACTCATGGACGTTTTCCTCGGCGTGCCTGAGGACTCTAGCACGGCGGGTGAGAAGTTCCAGTCTGCCGCAAAGACGGACACGTGACGTGGGCCTCCAGGGCCTCCCCCGCAAGATTGAAGTCATTCGGTTTCCTGTGCCAAACCGCTTCCCCGTGCACTTGCACGCACACCCCGCCAGCACCGATGGCCAGCCTGGAAGGTCAATCATCACACACATCAAGCGGTGAGGCAAGCGAATACCACGCAGGAGTTGATCAGGCCATCTCATCCCGATCCTCACTCTGGCACGAAGGGCGAATCCAGTAGCAAGCTCCCCACAGGCACGTGTCTTGAAAGGTGCACACAACACATTCCACCCCAGACTTCCAGGACTTCTGGCCGCCCTGGCTCCGGCTCCCAAGTTTTCCCCACCCAACCCCACCTCCTGATCAAATACCGCTAGTCAATGCGCCGACCTTGCAGACGTGCTGCAGCGGATGTTTGCGTGGAGCTCCGCCAACGCAAACCCCGAGACGGCGAGCGAAAAACGAAGTGAACTTCGCGCGGATCTTTGTTTCGTCGTCCTCCCTGGCCACCAAAAAGGATCCGCACGAGACTCACTCCGAAATCCAGGCCGACCTCCTCCAGGACGCCCCGGGCCCAAGGATTGCAAAAAAAACCCAGATTGCAATCCTTCGGTTTTTTTGAAGGATTGCAAAAAAAAAAAAAAAAAAAAAAAAACCTTCGGGGATTGCAAAAAAAAACCCTTCGGGTTTTTATTACAATCTAAGGTTTTTGTTGCAATCCTTCGGTTTTTTGCAATCCTTTTGCTCTCCGAACGAAGCCCGCTCTGCGACGCTGGCGCCGTGACGCCGGGCCTGCAGCGCTCCCGAACATCTTTCCCCGGCTGCTGCCGCTGGGCCTCTCTCCAAGGGCGCGGGCGGTGCCCTCGCCCGCGCCGCTCGGGGCGCGGAGCGGGGCGGGCCGCGTGGCCTCGGCCAGGGGGAGCGCGGCCTCGCCCCGCGGCTCTGGCCGCCCCTCTCGTCGACGCCGCGGCCGTGGCCGCCGCAGCCCCCCGTGCCGCAGCACGCCAGAGAGGAACCGCGCGACCTTAAACATCGCTGACGCACTGCTGAGCGTCGTGGCCCATTTGGGGTGTTCCTCCTCCCTCTCCTCCTCCTCCTCCTCCTCCTCCTCCTCCTCCTCCTGCTCCCTCCTCCTCCTTCTCCTCCTCCTCCTCTTCCTCTTCCTCCTCCCTCCTCCTCCTCCTCCTCCCTCCTCCTCCTCCTCCTCCTCCTCCTCCTCCTCCTCGTCCTTCTCCTCGTCCTCCTCCTCCTCTTCCTCCTCCTTTTCCTTCCTTACAACGCATGATCCTGAAACTTACAACTGAATGACAAGTTCACAGATGGAGGACGGGCCGTTGCCAGAATGCGGTTCTCGCATTAACGCCGTGCGCATTCGTCCTTAAAAACGAAAGAGGTTCACGGAATGGGGGCGGGCCGTTTTTGTTAATGTGGCCTTCGCCTCGCGCACTTCGTCGCAAAAACATGCGACAGCGTCACGGATCAAGAGCGGGTCAGTTTCAAAATGTGGCTCTCGCATTAGCGCCGCACACACTCGTCTTAAACAATTGCAACAAAAACTGCACGGATTGAGGGAGGGTCGTTTTAGCGCAGCGCCCATTCGTTGTAAATAGATGCAGGACAATCACGGATTGATGACGGATACAGTTCAAAATGTGATTATCGCCTTAGCGGCGCGCACATTCGACTTAAGAAATTGCAGAAGGTTCACGGGTTCCCATGGGTAACGTACCAGCAGTCGCGTGTTGGAACGATTCACAATTGTCCTGGCGCAACAACTGCGTGGATTCGCGATGTTGAAGTCCCAGGAAGGTGTTCTGGCACGATTCGGGGCCGTCAAGACGCAACAATCAAGTTGACTCGTGTCGTTGAAGTTCCGAGACAGGTGTTATTGCAATAGCAAGCTTACGGATATCACAACGTTTGCCTCCCAACGATGCACTTTACTGAACGGACCTGAACACGTGCATAGGGGCCTACGAGTAGAGAGAGCCTTGCGGGAGAGATGTTTCCAACATCGTTGATGAGTTTTGGATCTACACTGGTCCTCCTCCTCCTCCTCCTCCTCCTCCTCCTCCTCCTCCTCCTCCTCCTCCTCCTCCTCCTCCTGCTACTCTTCTTCCTTTTCCTCCTTCTCCTCCTCCCTCTGCGGCGCGCGCGCGGGGCACCAGCCCTTGCGAGCGATCCGTGGACTCACCCTCGGCCTCCTCGGCAGGCGGGAGAGGAGCAGGAGCAGAGAGTCGAGGCAGCCGCGCGTTCTGGGCGCGAGGGGCCCCATCGAGGGGGCACCAGGGCCGGGGCGCCGCAGAAACCCTGGGTGCCGTGCCTCGAACCGTCTCGGCCTTTGCTTCGGCACGGGCCGCGTCGCCGACCTCCCCGGAATCGCCCTCCAACATCGACGGCGGAGCTCCCGGCACCCGGAGCCGCCTGGCCTCAAAGCTGCGACGTTGTCGGACGCTCGGAGTTGGCGCCCACCACCGCCTCAGCGAACGCTCGCGTGTCACCCTTGCGTTTCTCCCAGAACTTCTTGGCTGCGGCGACATCTGCGAATGCGTTGTCCATCTCTGAGCCAACCGGGGTTGAGATGCGAAGACCACTGCCGGCAGCCCATGCCGACATCTTTTCCTTGAACAACTCCGCGAAATATTTCAAGGTCTGCGACTGGAACGTTTTTTTTCTGATCGCTTCTTTGCCATCAAGCATCTCTGGCCGACATATGCGATCATGTCCTGGACCGGGAACATGTCATGGACCAGAAGCGAGCTGAGATGCTGCTTACGAAGTTCCTCCACCTCAGCCTCCGCTGCCTTTTCCTAGCCACGATGTCCGCCATTCTGGCACTGACCTCGTCCAGCAACTTGCTGTGATCCACGAGCTTTTCCAATAGCTTGCCCAATTTCTGCGTTGCACGTGCCGAACGATGACCAACATTGGTATGCTGCGTGATGCACGGGCTCTCGATCTGGGCTCGCACCCCCTTGAGCATGCCCTCCAGCAACGACTTGCTTAACCTCCGCCGCCTCGTCACCCTTGCACGCTTTGATCTCCCCCTCCAGATCTTAGGCTGGAGAGGGTCTTCTTCTCCGCTGGTCTGTCCACCGGCACCACCAAACCCTTGCGACTGCCCCTGACCACCATTCCCAATTTGGGCCTTTGGCTTCGGGGCTCCACTACTGATGAACTTCTCCAGCTGTTGTCTGAGCTCGGGCAACCAGGATTCCAGCTTCGCCTCGCGTTGGGAGCCCGCAGCAGGTCGCTGAGCACGACAGACTGCCACCAGCAGCCCGATGAGCCCCGCCGCCGCCTGTGAATGCATTGGCCCTGTCTGCACGAACTATGCTGGAGCCTTGGCGCCGCAGCGGCACCATAGCCTGCACGCCCACTTGGAAGCAAGCCCGCACGCCTGGCACCCCCAGAACGCGGTCTTCGGCCCTCGGACCACATCCGCACCATCCGTCGACTCTGGCCCGCACTCTGCCGCAACTCTGAAGCGCCTGAAAGGCGGGAAGCTGAAGCAGAAAATTGGGCCGACTGAGGCCTGGAAGACTGGGCACTCGAGCCTGCCCCCTGGCTGCCTCCGAGCACCAGCCATCAAGACCCGCCCACCGCATCTGAGTCAAAATGGCCATGGACCGGGCGCTCCCGCTCGGCTTCGAGCCTGGCAAACACGCCGCAAAAAGTTGGGGCCCCTAGCCACGGTGGTGGTGGTTCACACGATGCTGCGCTCTGCTCGTAACGGCGGCTTTCTCGGAGGGCAGCCCCGCCCGAGAGCCTCGACGAGACGGGGCCGAACGGGCCGGCCATCTTCACGGCCACCGTGTCCCCGGCGTCCTCGGAGGCGGTCGGAGCAGATGGGGTCAGAGGGTCGCGCCGCATCGCCGATGCATCACCGATGCATCGGCCATGCAGCGGCGATGCACCGGCGATGCATCGGCGATGCATCGGCGATGCATCTGCGACGACGGCCTGGAGGAATCGGGCTCCACATCGAGCCGCATCACCGACGCATCGGCGATGCGGCGCGATCCTCCCCCATCCACTCGAATTCGGGAGGCCTTGAGGGAACCAAAAGCTACCGATACCGCTGCTCCCCAGACCTCTCCCGGAGTGCGCTCTGACCAGCATCTCGAGGCGAAGCCAGCGGTGGCGACGAGGGCCTCCCAGGAGGCCCAAAAAGAAGGGAAAGCTGGCGCAGGGTGGCGGTAGAGGAACCTCTTCCTCCTCTTGAGTCGGCTACACGCAAGAGTGACCCTGGGTAAGAGTGACCTTTGGTGCGCGGCTTTTTGGGGGCCGCGGGGGGACCAGACCAGGGCGCGCAAGCCGCTGCTCCTGCTTCGTTTTCAGCCACCTAGGGACCCGTCTGTGCCCGCACCAAAGGTCACTCCGGCGAAAGGTCACTCTTATGTCTAGTCGATTGAGGCCTGGAGGGTCCTCCGGCCGCACCATCTGCAGGACGATGGGCTCGTCCACGTGGCGGGCGGTGGCCCTCTCGGGGGCATCCTTGGACGTCTGGCTCCGCGGCACGCTGACCTCGGCGGAGAGGAGGGCCGGCCGAGAGGCGGCCGCGGTGGCGCCCTCGCCGGGGCCAGACAGCCGCGCAGGACCGGTCCCCCAGGCCACTCCTGGGCCCCACCCTGACTCAGGGGCCAGGGCATGGTCGACAGGCGCACGAGCGTGTTCTTGTTCGGCGTTCCGGCATTGGGCGGAAGGGGGGGGAGGGGGGGTGTCTGGCTCCGGACCTCTGCTGAGTGCGGCTGTTTGCAGCAGTGCGTTCTGTGGGGGCAGACACCACCTGCTCGAAGCAGGCGCCAAAAACAGCCAAGTTCCACTCCATGGGGGGGGAGGGGCGGTACGAGGGCCCGCGCCGATCGGCAAAACAAGAAAGAAAAGAACGATCACATAGGCGAAGGGGGGTCATCGACCTCGAATGGCCGATACATCGCCGCTCCGAAGCGGTCCCCAGGCCTCTGCTGGGGCAACGATGCACGTCGGGGCAACGATGCACGCCGGTCGGAGGAAGCAGGCAAGGACATGAAGCATGAGGGCGGACAAAGTAGATTGGGTTCAGGCCCTCCCAGAGAATAACAGAACATATCAAAAGCATATCGATTATTGAAGTAGGAAGGCGCTTCAAGTAGATTGGGATCTGGATGTCCAAAAACACCTACTTTCAATGACCGACGGGTAGGGGTAATAGGCGCAGGGGGAGAGCATCGACCTCCAATGGCCGATACAGCGCCCGTGCATCATCGATACACATCGTCGACTCAGACTGCCCGATGTATCGCCTACACATCGTCGACGCATCGCCCCGAGATCTACGATGCCTCGTCGTCGACGCATCGCCGATGTATCAGCCGTTCGAGGCCGATGCGCCCCCTCTCCCGCTCCCCAGACCCTCGCTGTCGTAATCATTTCACAGCGTCGACCCCCCGGGACCGTTTTCCATCCTGATTCGCTTCTGACGCTCCCGGGGCCTACCGCGAAGGCACCCGGGGGCCGCCAACGGCCAAAAACATCCCGTCCTGACTTTTAAACGAGGCGATCCTGTCTGGGTCCCTCTCCCCCCCCCCCCCTACTGCCGCCCCCGACGGACCCAGCCTCCGAGGCGGGCCCGGCCGAGGCGGCACCAGGCCTCCGGGAGGCCCCGAGAGCGAGAGGAGGCGAGCTCCGCCGGAGGAGGGCCGCCGCCGCCGCCGCCCGGGCCGCGGAGACCACGGCCGGGGTCGCCAGGGGGATCGGGGGCTCCGCAGCGGAGGTCGGCGGCGAGCGAGGGGGAGGGGGAGGAGGAGGAGGAGGAGGAGGAGGAGGAGGAGGAGGAGGAGGAGGAGGAGGAGGAGGACAGAGCAAATTGAAGGAGGAGGAGGACAGAGCAGATCGAACACGTCACACGCCCAAGGTCGGCCTTCGGTCCGAAAGGCTCGGGAGAGCGGGCATGGGGCGGCGGGGGGGACGAGAAGGACAAGGCCTGCTCCGAGGGCGGCGGGGCTTCTCAGAGGCCTTCGCGCCTTCTGAGGAGCTTGCTGCGTCCTCGGGGGAGGCTCCGAGGCCCGCCCCTTCTCGCTTCCCCCCACCCCGCTCACCGCCGAGGATGCATATATGGTCCAGGGTCTGGCCCCCCCCCCCCACCTCATGCTGATGCCATCGCCCCCCCCCCCCGCGCGCTGGTCCCCCCCCTTAAGTGTGTGGTGAGGTGCTGTGGGTGTGGCGTGTGTGGCATGGCAATGTGGTGCTCCAGGAGAGCTCCAGAGGTCGTCGTCGTCGCCGTCGCCGTCGCCGTCGTCGTCGGAGCTCCAGAGGTCGGCGCCACCACCACCGCCGCCGCCGCCGCCGCCACCGTCGTCGTCGTCGTCGTCGTCGTCGCCGCCGCCGCCACCGCCGTCGTCGTCGTCGTCGTCGTCGTCGTCGTCGTCGTCGTCGTCGCCGCCGCAACCGACGTCGTCGTCGTCGTCGTCGTCGCCACCGCTGGGGCCGCCGGCCGCAACCGACGTCCGTCGTCGTCGTCCGTCGTCGTCGTCGTGCGCCACCCCGCCCCCGCCGTCGTCGTCGTCGTCGTCGTCCGTCGTCGTCGCCGCGCCGCCGCTGTCGTCGTCGTCGTCTGTCGTCGTCGTCGCCAGCCGCCGCCGTCGTAGTCGTCGTCGTCCGCCGTCGTAAAATCCGTCGTCGTCGTCGTCGTCGTCGTCGCGCGTCGTCGTCGTCGTCGCCGTCGTCGTCGTCGTCGCCGTCGTCCCGTCGGCGTCCGTCGTCGCCGTCGCCAACGCCGTCCGTCGTCCCCGTCGTCGCGGCCAACGTCCTCGTCCGTCGTCATCGTCTTCGTCGTCGTCGTCCGTCGCCGTAGGGCGTCGTCGTCGTCGTCGGTCGTCGGGCGTCGGGCGTCTGTCGTCGGCTCGTCGTCGTCGTCGTCGGCCGTCGTCATCGTCGTCATCGTCGTCAGTCGTCCGTCGTCCGTCGTCGTCGTCGTTGTTGTTGTCGTCGTCGTCAGTCGTCGGTTGTCGGTCGTCAGTCGTCGGTCGTCG